GTACAAGCTTAACAATGATAAATCATAATATGCTAATATAACATTCTCATATTGTTTTACTAGGATATAATATTTTATCAATATCCGTTTGCACGCAAACAATTCCGTTGATATTATGTTTTGTTATTGCAACTGCAGTCAGTGATGACTGAGCATTGTTAGTAACCTACGTACAAGAAATTAACGTTAATCGGTTCGACTTCAAGTTGGGCAAACATTAAATGTTTAGCTTGGCGAGAAGGCATTTTCACCATCTAGTTTTGAGGGATTTCAAAAGTTTGACGAAGTGTCAAGGTGGAGTCGGATTCGATGGTTTGGAATTCTATTGTTTGGCAAATTTCCGCACATGGACAAAGCGCAGCAATAGCCGATCAGTTTGGTTTTCTTACATCCGGCCGAAGACACGAATATTCGACTTTTGCAGTTGGCAGTTTTAGTACGAATTCGATTTTTCCCCCGAACGAGAGACGTTGGATCACGAGAATGTGTCCCAGGATCTTCTGTCGATTGCCGATCATGTCTTTTACCCTCATCCCCATTCCGTGCCCCCAGCCCTTTCCCTGTCGATCCCTCCCCACACCCTGTCGCCACTCCTCTTTGGGGCTACGCCTCGCGGAATCGCCGGTGCACACGATTTATTATTATGTATTTTATTCTGTTAGACAAACAAGAGTGTCTTTGTCTGTGGGATCAGATGTCGGAATCGTATTAAAAGTTTGCCCGTCACGTTCCGGTACCGCTGCCGTACGTGCAAAGAATACGGCGGACCGAAAAAATACCGCCATAATAATTGAATACACACATTGAATACGCCCCGTGGTAGTTGTATAATTTCAAAAAAAAAAAAAAACCCATATACATACGTGTGTCACATGTGTGCCCCGGTACCGTAAGACGTCTGTCGGACTGCCGGTGTGTCTCGAACGAGCGATTTATAATTTGTTTTTTTTTCTCCGGAGTCGCATCCACATGTGAATCGACAGCAGCTGCCGCTGTTGAAATTCACAGTGCCGAAGATAACGGCGACCAGCCCGAGACTTTTTAGAATTTAACAGTTGGCCGGTTTCTCAATATTTTCGTATACCTCCTCCGCCGTCGAACGGTACTTGCCCGACTGCCGGCGGGAGAGACAAATGCATTTCAGTTATTCAGCTCGAGCAACACTCGTGGTTATGTGCAAAAAATAATAAAAAAGCATTCTGCAACCACGAAAGAGCGTTTTCGTGTCTCGTTGAAGTGCCGAATAAATTTAGAGTAGTGGTGGAATTTTAGATAATGAAATAAAATGTTAACAAACTAGTATCTAAGGTGACTAGTAAACATATCAAGTTTCTGACTAAATATTTTAGTGTTTTCATATCTGGCCTAAAACAATTCATAGGGAATATGACCTGTTAAATTTTTCGAATTTATTTTTCAGTTCTAGTTTGAACGTTTAGAATAAAACATATATGCCCCCAACCCCACCCCACACTCATCCACCACCCGTCTTTATTTATTATGTTAATTAAATTTATAAGTTACCGCTCTGGAAAAAATTTACAGAGATAAAAAATTGAATATTGTGGAATATGATGAAATTACATAAACTGCAGTGTCCTTGCCAAAACTCAAACTGCAAAAATGTTAAGAAAAATGAGTGTCGTATCCACAATGAACCATCTTGTAGTACGAATTCCCATCAAAAAAATGTTTATTTTTCTAATTAAATGTTTTGAAGCGATTTGTTTCCGTTTTTGTTCCTTAATTTTGGTGTACAGCGTGTTAATAATAAATAAATTCTAACAACAGCATTATATACTAAAATTACATAACAAACTGAAATATACAGTCCTGGAAATAAAGCACTTCTATCTAGAAATAAAATCATATGGTAAAAAATTGCAGAATTGTCTACTGAACATAATATATATATATATGATTGAAGAAGAAAAAATAAAATATTGAGTCTGCAAACTGCACAACATAGATAGAAAAGACTGTTTGTTTTTTTTCTTTTACATTTTTCTCACCTTCACAATTAACCCTATTCAGCCATGCGGTGTTAATACCACCGGCAAATAACAGCTAAAAACGTACAACGTGCAATAAATGTGGCGATAATCGGTCTGAACGTTTCTACAGAATGAAATTCAATGGAAATTTATTGATATTGAACAGCAAAGTTCATACTCTAGGTACTACGAAATTTGCATCGCAGAGACGTTCGCCTGTGATTTATTCCCTTTCGAATCTAATGACTGTTTTGCCCTACTTTGCTTATTATTTCCATCCGTGCCGGGTAGGTGGTCTGTGTGCCGATTCTTATGATAAACTATCTTTGAGAATGTTTTTAATTTTGTCCAAGCGATTTTGCACCTGCCACGAGAAAACGCTGAAACCCGCGAGAAGAACAAACAATATTATCATATATATTGAATCGGTGGTTGGCATTAATTTGCATGACAGAAGAGTGTATAGGAAGCAAATTTGTCCTCTGCGCCGTGCATTAATTATAATACCGTTCTCGCTATGCAGATTTTGTAATATTATCTTTTTTCCATAAGACGGCCTACACTAAACTGGTCCAAGAGGAATGCTGTATGAGTACGCTTTTTAGTGAAGTAATTTAAATATTTTAAGTAAAAAATTTCTATCTCGCGAATCACCGTTTCGTACTTCAGGTTATACTATATATACCAATACTTCAGGGTATGTTTTTTTCCAATAGTTTTATTACATTTTTGAATACCTCATTTGTTATTAAAACTACAGCTGATACCATACTGCAAAAGTCCCTAGTTATTTTCTCAGCTGCGCGGAAAATCATTGGATCTTTGGATTGAACACATGTGGGTTCTGGAATCCTCGTATCCATATTTATTTAATAAATATTTTTTCTCTTTATGTCGATGACACGAAATCGTAACACGAATTTCAAAATGACCTCACAATTACACACATCTGCATATTTTGGCTCCCAATCACAGAAAAAATATGTCCCTACTGTTGTATCTAATCAATAAGACTACGGTTTCGCCCCAAGTATATTCTTGGCGTAACGGACACAAATTACACGGTGAATTCGCATTGTTAACCGTCGACCATATTGTTTCGCTTTGCCGGCAATGATATTATTATTATTATTATTATTATTCGGTACGACTTACGAGATTTGTATTCTTAGAACGGCAAAGAGGGTCGCCTCGAATTGCGTTTTGCGACACACCGAAATTGACGGTAGAACGCTGCTCGTTTCTTAACGGTTGCAAATTAGATGTACCGTTTAACTTTCCAAAGTAGTTACGACCCTCGTCGGAGACGCGGCCCGAATACGAATGGTTAATGGTTTTTTTTTTTTTCGTTCATCGTATCTTTCTTTGTATAAATATGTACAGCGTGATTCACTAACCAGCCGATATCTTAAAGAAAATATTAACATTTTTCTAATATTATTCCTTTTTTACACTTTCGCAGCCGTTATAAGTTAGCCTCCCCAAACGTGATATATTTTTCAACCATATACCGAACCTTGTGTATTAAAAATACATAAAATTACATAGATTACATTTAGGTATAAATAAATATATTCTCAATTGTTTAAACTAAGAACAATTAGCTGAAAATGTCGACTGGACGAAAACTGATAACTTCTAATAACATGTTTTAACTTATTAAAATTCTGATATTTTTAATTAAGTGCGCTTGCAATAACATAATGTTATAATCCGTCCAATTCGCTTTGGTACTAGTCATGCGATGTTTGAATGATTTTTAGATTATGAACTAGCCAACAATAATATTCCAACATTCGTTGCGGAGCCGAGAAGTTATTGACTTTACGGTTATGTGTTTTCATAATATTGTGCTTCAACACCAAGGATATCATCGAAACCACTTAAATGATTTCCCTCTTGGTCCTTTGCACCAGACGCAGATGAATTGCGATGTTTCATATATTCTTTTCAACTGCCCCTTTCTCCTTCCCAGTTGTAGCCTACTTTTTCTTTCCTTCCTTTCGTTGGTTACATTTCCACTGATATCCAAAAACTTATTAACTAGTTCTCCAATTGTTATTTCGACCATAATTTCTTTTATTTTCAACGCTGAATTCTCATTTAAATACATGTAAATTGTAAACACTGTTTTATACTCTGTATACTGTATGTAGATGATATAATATCTTCTAAACTTTTTTTAAGTCGTTAAATATAAAATTTAGATGGGATGTTGAGTAACACGCACAGATAAAAAAACAGTACACTCTTTCCTTCCTCCCGTCCTTAAATTTAAACTTTAATAACTTCAAAAGTAACTATCCAACAATGTTTAACACCATAACACCATTTTCAACAAATTATTCTCAATTTATATAGTTAATTTAACATATGGGTTTCAAAAGTTTATGGAGTTCTGAAAAATACTAAAAAAGCTAAACCATAAGTTATTTTATAATTTTATATTATAGCAAGAACTTAAAAGGTTTCAATTCAAACGATCGGTTTAGGTAAAATTAAGATAATGGTATACTTTTTTTAAAATAAAGCTAAAGTAGAAAAAAAAATGGTTCGAGCATTGCTTTTATATGCTAGAAAATTACTAATTATGAACTAACGTATAGACCAAGTAGAAAAAAACGTTATCTCGGAACAGCAATAAATGATAATTGGGATATTAAGAAATAAAAACCAGAATTGAAAGAGCTACAGAAAGGAAGTGTAAATAATAATAACAACTCACACACACAAATATACATGTGTGTATAATATATATTTGTGATATCTCAAGTTAGCATCCTTCAATTCCATAACATAGTATCTAGTTGTAGCATAGTGAAAACTTATTCCTACGATAATTACAAATTTTATTGATAGAATAATATACACACAGCTAATGGTTAAAATCTATAATGCAAACATTAGTTTTCCGAGTGATGTTTACATAACGAAATGAGCATGAAATAGTCTAAACACTGCGTCATTGTAATGTAAATATGTAATCATATTTAATTTTGTCAGCATAAAACCATACCACAAGTTACAAGAAAATCACTTTAAAGTAGTTCGTTTAACAAGCTGATCAAATTATTGATCACTTCCATTTTAATAACTCAACTTTGAAACTTCAAATATTGTAAGTATGTTTTATAAAGGTTTTCTTGTTATTTATTTTCGCGTTTTGTGTATGCTTGCGGTATCATTTTTACCACCAGGTCCAAACTTTGTAAGACACCTTAACATAGTTTCAATAGTAAAAGCCATTTTGGTTTATTTCTAGCACCAAGTCCAAAACAAGTCTAACAAAAATGGCTTTAAAAAAAAAAAACAAAACAAATTTTGAATTTATTCTATTATTTTTAAAAATTGGTAGTTTTAACCAATTCATTTAATTGTGTTCGTTGTTGTAAACAGTGGCTATATACTTCAACGAAAACTAATTGGCCAGTACATATTATATTATAAAATATAATATATATAAAAGCATCCGCTAGATCGCGCCACTTTCACGCTACTCTCGTGACGCTATTTTGTGTCGTTTTCGAGCTGGAAGGTCAAGGCTAAAGCATGTTCCATGCTAATTGTTAGCTACTTTTACCCTTATTAAACTTGGGTGTAAAAAAAAAAGTTAAGAGTATCTACACTTCAGGCAGATACATCAACACATGCATACGTCCTGATAATTATATGATTATTTCCGATCTATAATCTCCTTGCGATATATGATGATAGTATAGTCTTAACTATGTTAGGTTCTGGCCAAACATTTTTTAGTAGTTTTTTAGCCTTATCGATTTACTGACAACATTTATCAATATTTAACATTTATCATAAAAATCAATTTCAGTGGTACGCCAGTAAGTGCCTACCTAACAAATGCATTAGACTATCCTTATATCCTAAAATATCTTTACATATCAATATATCCTAATTTATCCTTGTATCCTTATATATCCTTAAATTACGGAGTACCTAATAAGCAGTCTAATTTTAATGTTCATTATTATTTGCAGATAAAAATGAAAACATTTTGTATAATAATATTGTTTGCCTCGGTAAATGTTCTGTTAGCTGTATTAGGTGATTATTTTTACACGTATCTATAAACGCAGGACAAATCTATACAAAAAAAAACTCATTAATTAACTCATTTTACAGATTATACAACTAAGCAAATTATACTAACAAGTCGGTATAAATTATTTTTCATGCACGGTAATTTTTAAAGTTTTACTATTCTTCTATATAATTTATTACAGACAAATACATCGATCTTGCAGAAGGTAAATTATATTAACAATAAAATATTATATTTTTTTGGAAAAAAAACTATAGTTTCTATAATAATCTGTTCAGATAAGAAACGAATAAGGTGTAAAATAATAAATTATGATATTGAAATGGAACTTTCATTGAACAATACTGTAATTTAAGTGGTTTTTTTTTCATAATATCTTTTTTTTTTTTAATTTTTAAGGAGCTAAAAATTGATAAACGAATATTAGAGTTATCGAATAACCCTGTATGTGAATTTTTGGAGAAATCCAGTTATGTATTGTATTAGGGTTTTCAATAATAGCTATTTCCACCTTATAGTATACGAACATTGGAAATCGGAGACTAGTAGTTTTACCGCTAGAGAAATGATTAACACCACAAGTATTGCTTAAATTTGTTTCTGCTTTTTTTAAAACCGTTGTTTTATTTTTTCTAGATAGATTGCCGTCAATAATTTTCCGAATTGTTAATGGAAATTATTCGATGGGTAATCATAATTTATTATATAAATAAAATGTTAACAATTATAAAGCATGCGGTAATATTTTTAAACTGTGTACCGATATAAAAATAGCAAATTTATCAGCGTTGTAAATCTTGCAAGTTTTACTCTAAATGAATCTTTCTGCCAATGAACGTTGACGTTGCCTATTTTAACCTAACCTATACGCTTAATGTTGTTGTACTTGTCACATCCGCTTAAAACCAGTCATCCAAGACCGCAGTTTCTACTCAATCCACCTACTATCATTAAATAATACATTTATGTTATTGTTAATTCAGAAAAAATAGCTGTTATGTTGGCAGTACCGGGTAATAATTTTTTTTTATCAACATTTTATAGAAATATATTTCAACATGGTTATATTTTGACATACGTTGAAAAATATGAATGTGTTTATTTTAATTTCAGAAGCTGTAAACGACGATCCAAAACCAAATCGTAAAATTATTCATAACCTTTATATTATTATATTTTATATTACCTTACGCAGTCTTCTTTTAATTGATTACCAAAAACCTTAGTTAATTTTAAATACCTACTTTTATAAATTTATTTTGTTTTGAATTTTAGGAATTTTACGGTTACAGGGTAATATGCGGACGGAAATAAGAAAGGCATTAGGTAAATACAAAATTTTATTTTTTCATACGAACAATTATCGTTCATTTTGATTATTACTATACATATATATAGTTCTAAGCAAGTATCTTACAATTATTTCACTAAAAGACGTCTTAATGGTCGTACAAAACTAATTTAAAACTAACCTTTAATCGGTTTTCAATTGTGGCTAAGTGTAAAATTGTATACATTGAATAATAATTACTCTAAATATTCTCATTTTAGGATGACTTTTGTACGCAATGTATTTACAAAAAAAAAATTGTTTTAACCGTATAATTATTTGATATTTACATTTTGGTTATAGGTTGCCCGCATTCGAGTCTAATTGACATCAACGAAAGTAATCATAATAATCATACATTAATTTTTTGTAGATTTTAGTTGAACAGAAGGGGAGCAATAACTGCTGAATCTTTCTGTAGGTCATTGGCTATTCTATATTTCCTGCTAGTTTTGATACCGACTGGTATTACAAAATATCAATTATTAAATACACTGTTTAAGAAGTTGAAAAGGGATGTGAAGGAAAATGCCATAAAAAATTTGAACAGCAGTCCGTCTCTTCAATTCAATTTTTAAACTGCGCTTTGGTTCTTTAATGTTTTGTTTTTTGCCCTTCTATAAACGTGTTCAGGGACAAAAGTTGTTCTGGTTGTTTCAAAATCCTGTGGGAGCTCTCCCGTTGCTAGAGTTTTGTCTTAAAACTATACCAAAAAAAAAAAATAAAAATAAAAAAAAATAGTTTCCATGGGAAAAGGTTTATTATATTTTTTTAGGTTAGTCAGCGTATATTATTTAATAGTGATAAAATATTTAAATATTTGACCTTCTATACTAACTTGGAATTTATTTTAATTTTTTTTTGGGGTTTAAATTGTTGGTGGGGTTAATATTTTTTAATTTTTGGCTCAATAATTTACCTATTCGGTATCAATGACAGGTTGTACAATAATTACCAACATTAAAGTTCTTTAAATGTAATGCAACTAGTAATCAAGGAGCAACTAAAATATATTTTTTATTGTTATTATTTGTTATCAAGCCGATTTTCAAGGCGTTACAATCCGGGATTTAGGACGTGCAAGAAGACGAAAGACAAGAGAAGCAATAATTACTTTAATTCGGGAATTAATAAGTAAGTATGCGTGCAAGTGATTTAAATTAATTCATATGTACACAATTATACTCGGCCCATATTTCCCATCAGGCAAGTTAGGCGCGTGCCTATGATCGCCAAATAAAAGGATCTCACTTCAATTACACAGTTTTTATAGCAATTTAGAGTAACTTGTTTGTATAACACAAAAAATGTGCAAATTGAATTGTTTTTAAACGTTAAATTTGGTACATTTTGTTCAAGGAGATAACTCCTCCAGATTTCCAGATTTCGAAAACCTTCCCATAATGTGTCCTTTAATTGGATTGTTCAGAAGTGTATCATACCCGGATTCATATACAAAAAGTTGTATTTACCACGAGGGAACTTGTAATTTGTTATCTATACACAACGATATTAGCATGTACAGATCCTTTAATGGTGTATTTTGGGAAATCAACATAAACAATGAACTACTTCGGCCACTTGCCGATCAGTTACTAGATAATTTGGACCAGTGATTTCAAGGATAACATGTTTTACAGTAATATTATTATTACATTTCAATAATTTTTGCATACCGCACCAATATCTAAATTGTTAATAAACTCAATGTGTTTTATAATAAACATTTTTAATCGCTGTTACAAAAACATTTGTTCTTTATGTATTGTATTTATAATACTTTTTTTCGAGTATAGATAATTTTAATATAGTGGTATAATTTTTTTTCTTGTTTGGGATACAACCACATTAAAAAGTCTACAAAAATGTCTGTATTCTAAAAAAAAAATCTATTTATTTCACTCTTTTAAATTATCATTTCGCGGGTAAACACAGGTTCACCTAATAAATATTTTCAGATTTAATATTAGATCTACTTAATTTTAAATCTTTGACTTTTTTTTTTTTTTTGAAACAAAGTACTAATTTGTGTGTTTTTTTGGGAAAAGTCGTTTTCTCAAAGTTAAATATTTTAATACAAGGTAAAAATAGAAACGAAAAACAAGATTGTTTGCGAGGATGAAAGGACGAATGATATTGCATTGTTTTCAGTGCTAAGAAATATCCCATTTAAATTTGGCAGTTGTTTGCATCACCACCAAATTGCACACACCCTAGAGCTACAAAGTTGTTGAACCCCATAATAAATTTCACGAGTTATACACAGTGAAACACACTGACAAGGAGGTGGCATAGCCAGAGAGTAAAATAAAAAAGAGATACAACGGTGTTGAAACGTGGACACTAACGGGGTTTAAGAAATGTGAAGCTTTTGAAATTTGGCTGATCGTTAATTTGAACAATTTGACGGCCAAGACACCAAACAGCCGGACGGGTTATTTACGAGCTGGAGCTCAGGCCCTCTTTACCTGGCGATGATGGCACCTGGCAGGAGGAATTGTCAAAACCAAGGCGAGGGTGCTGCACGCCAAGACAAGGTTAATCGGTGCACACGCACAACGGTCCAGTTTGAAGTGATTTGTAGCGGATCGGGCGTGTCGTTTGGCCCAAACTCTCGTGTATATGCGAAAAACTGTCGTCCGAGCCAAAAACTTTAATCCCCTTCGGTTACGCCCCTGTCCGTAATGCTCGGTGACGTGCGATCGCCGTTTGCAAATCAAATAATATTAAATCATTATTGCCATTAGGTCAGGTCTGGCTCTCGGCATGAATTATCATGTGCAGACAACGCGGATCACCGGCTACCGACAACAAACGCGTACAATATAATATATAAATATTATACTCAAATAAATGTGTTTTGTTGTGCCCGTATGCAAGCACTTCAAGAGACCAAGTCCAAAGCGTCCCCCGGATAGGGGCAGCAGGGCGATCGAACAACAGCTATGAACCGATTTCTCGACCGATTGTTTGAAAATAGTCGAATCAGTTCCTAATATGTTTGGGATATTCTTTGAACACCACGCTACCGATAAACGTAAACTAGGTAACCAAAAAAAGTAAGATAGACAGCTCGTTCCTCTAGGAGAGATAGACTTTTTTTCTTTATTTAACTTTATCGAGCAATGTTTTTAGGTTTTAAGTCTGAAAATTAGACCGCAGGGTAGATCTAAAACGAAACCATAGCATTAACAATTTTTTAACATGGATATGTTTTCGGGCTGGAGATCATTCTAAAACACTAACCCTCCCTTACTTACTACTCCTATTACTCACTTATGTATACGAATTCCTAAATGTGCTGGTTTGAACCTAACCTAACCTAACGGTCCACAGATTCGCTCCGTAGCGTTTATTTAAAAGTGATTTTAACACTTTCAACAACTGGATTTTTTTTTATTCGATATTTTTCTTTGTCAATTAAAAATAAAATATTTCGTCTTTAATACTTCTTATGTCTTGTGTTCAATGCCTGGAGAATTGCAGCTTTTTGAAATTAAGCGTTTTTTTTGGAAAAATATTAACTCCATTTATGAAGCGCCAATAGTTCACCATCTACTGTATGCATTTGCTTTAATTCTGTACGGAAAATCTATTGTCAATGCAACTCTCCTGATAATTAATCATTAATCATGACTGACTGGTGTATATTAAATTATATTATTATTTAATACTGTGCACTTAGTGTGGTAAGAAACGTTCGTATATACTATCCTTAGCACTGCAAACGAGTGATTCAGAGTTTTCATAAAATCTCCAATAAAGGGTTGCACGTTTTATCGGATTTTTCAAAAGCAATTCATATTATGAAAATGTAAAACATGTAAACGACAAGCTGAAGATTTTTCACTTGGCCCGGGGTAAGTCGTTAGTACTTAAACCGCTGTTATTGTGCACTTTTTCATTTGTCTGAGTACCTCGTGATAACCGAGCATGACATAATATATTATATTTTTTATTTTTACACACCTCCCAACCGAAATAACAATATAATAATAACAATAATGTATTGTTTCGAAACGCAACCACGTCAAGGAAACATTAAACAAATACCAAAGTCGAGTGCGCCTATACGTGAACGATCCGGTAAGTTTTAACTTGTAAACAATAAATAAATACATTAACCGTCGAATTTCTTTTTAGATTTCCCTTGTGGCACACGCGAGCATTTGGAAATGTATGAAAATTAAACTACAACTTTTGTACTTGTTTTTTTGTTATTTCAATAATTTACATTGTGCAAAAAGTAGTGAACGCAAATACTTGGCACAAACATTGATTAATTTCGAATTTTCCTTCAGCTAACAACAATTATTGTTTAGCGCGTTTGAAATTATGCGCAGAAATAATTCAAATCTAGTATGCTATGCTGTGCTTATTTTTAATATGTTTTCAAATTAGGGCATTGTGCTCTGGTTTATTTATGGTGACGCTTTTGTGTTTGTCGAACGCGAGACAACAATATAACGTTACATATTTATCACCGATTTAAAGTAATACATTCTGTCGCATTCGTATGCCACCGTAGGGGTTTGCATACGTTTAACGTTAAGTACGCCATAATGGTATTTCTATGTTGAACGAAAAACAAATGTATATGATGTATAATGTTCAAGATTGGTGGCGTGGAGTGCAGTAATAGTGGCAAAAACTCTTAGAGAGCAGTCATGCCAACAGGAGGAGGAGAAGAATAAGAAGAATTTATATGTTATAAAATATGTCTAATTCATAACCGAAAGAGTGAATTTACCGTTACACAATTTTTCAATCATAGCTATGTTATAAAAATGTCCTATACTGTTGTACATATATGAATGACAATTATTTGTATATTTAATTTCAGTTTTAACCACACGACGCAACTAAACATGATTAACTCCTACTGACACCGTTATATTTTAGATATGAGAATATGAACAAAATATATTTATCGTTTTACAATGGAAACACATTAAAAAAAACTCCCATCTTAGCAAAACCAATAGTCTCTAGCTCTGCCTCGAAGCTATGAACGGTTAATCATAGACTCAAGTTGGTCACGAATGAAATTCTAAAACACATAACTCGACGCCAGGGTTCGCTTTTATTCCCGAGGGAATAAATGTAATTGAATACAAAGTTCTATTTGCACAACCAATTTATATAATATTGTGTTTTGCTGATACATTTTCGCCACAAACCGGAAACAGTTCATTGCTGTTCTGCTCAAAAGGGTTTAAACAATAAATTAAACACCAAAGCAGTCAATGGGTGCTCCTGCTGCATGCATTAAAAATTGCATAACCAAAGTGCCGTCTATTAATTTTTCAATGATTTTAGAACAATATCATGTCATGTTTTCATTGTGGTACACTTTAATATCGTCGAATAGATTATCGACGCTTGTTTTTTACCTGTCAGGCAAATAACGATAAGTGATTAAAAGGGGGGTAAGGGATGGGCAATATTTTACAAAAAATTATCTAGTAGCTATTTTTAATATACAGACTAATTTTAAATAGAAAAAAATATTACATTTTTCTAGTTATAATACTGTTAAAATTATTTTTCTATTATCGAATGTTTTATCTCTCTAAGAACCTCGCCACCAGCATCCAGCTGGACGACCATCTCTCAACACTAATCTAGTATCTCCAATATCTTATCCTTAATCCATTATGTCTATTCCATTAGGTCTTTTTTTTTAATTTCTATTGGGAAATCGCTTTTGGGTCGTTTCAAAAGACTTTGTAAGCTGTTGTAAAAACGTAAAAACCGTTCACTCTGATTACGTCGGGGATCGTTCGAACGAATGGAATAATTATATTATGTGAAATCCGATATCCAATGTGAATAATCTCGTTTGCCAGCATAACTCCGGCCTCTGGCAACGGTATCATCGAAGGGCTATCGATTGGACGTACCACAAACATTGTCTGCATCAGCTAAGGAAACATTTTTATCTTCTATTATCGGAAAAAGCTGAGATTCCTACATAGTGCATCTGAAATAATTGTCGCATAAGGTCGTACTGTACACTAAAAAAAAAAAAAACACATACGACATTAAAAATATAAATAAGCACAGTCTAAACATACCCAAGTACAGTATAATAAGAAGCTAACAATATTGCTTTTATCCAATATTGTTAAATCTTAATAGGATGACATCACAATCAAACGGTTCGGTGTGAATCCGCGAGCAATAAGCCAGAAGAGTCAGAAATTACCAAAGTGGAGTCCAGCATCCACAAATTCACTTTTCATTGGTAGGTCTTACAACTTACACAATTGTCTGGACATCCATTTTCATGGTAGATAGACGGTTGCCCCGATGCATTCGATTTTTTAGTGATACTTCTGAACCAGATGATGTCTATAGGTGGTTTCCCCATATTTTATTTACCTCTTATTTCGTCATTGCTAAATTATATAGAACTATTCAAGTTTTTAATCTATTTTTTTTTGTATTACTTGTTCCAAATCTCAAGTTTTCTAATTAGCCGATCAAGGCAGCATATCCTAGAGACTTATTCATCTCAACTTGTTTTAAGTAAATACATCAAAACTTCCCGGCGGTTTTGAACCTGTTTATTGATTAAAATTTACTTAGAATCTTATTGACTAAACGAGAAACATTATCGGAGGCGTGTTAAATTTTCCATGCAAAGTATTTACTCTCCGTTTAATAATTATTTATGATTGTGTATGTATTATAATATCATACAACACAAATTATTACAATAACAGTGATACGTTATAATATGCATTATCTTTTAGTGTCCGGATTTCACGCTCATTTTGGGGAGATTCGCATTATGTTTGGGTAACTGGTACAAGCAAAACGCATTAGAATGTATGTATATTAAGATTGCCGAATCACTAATTTACCTCAATTAAGGTCGTTCTATCGCCCGTACACTGTATGAGAATATCTCCAGGCGGCTCGATCTGTAAACTGCGATGATAAATTCAAAAAACCTAAAATTACTTCCAAGATTAAATTACCACCGCAATGCGTTTAAAGGTCGCGAATTCATCGATTGGAATAAAACATTTTTTTGTCCAAAGTCCAAGAAAAAGGAAAAAAACCAATCCCACTGCCGGCCAAGTTTTCCTATTGTTGGCGCATATTTTAACAGTGTTTACCGAGCAAACGTGTAATACTATCCGAAGACTATGTGGAACGATAAACCGAATTTCAGCAACAACAATAAACTTGTACCATATCAATTTACCATGTCGTGTATGTTATTGTATGATTTCATATTCGGAATGGCTTTTAGAGTGAATTATTGGCGTATTCACTGTCCTTGGCGCAGTTCAACGTCGTTGTTGAGATGATTTTTGGGTTTAGTTTAAACGAGCAATGTGTTATGAAAAAAAAAACATTTAAAATTATTAACATAATATCATAAATATATATGGATTAAAAAACCATGGTGTTTGCACGATTAAGTGTTTGAGAGAAGTTATAAATAAAGATACCTCGTCGAAAACCGGACCTTTGTGGTTACCTTGTCCTGGTCTACTCACGTTACTCAACACAAATTAAATTTTAAAAAAATGGTAAAAAATTGAGCTTTTACATTTTACTGTCGTAAATTGATTTTGGAGTAAATAATTAAAATCTCTAGTTAGGTAAGCTTCCACGTTGTTGGATTTCAACTAGGAAACAAGACAATCAAGTGTACACTATCGTTAATTTGATGGCGAAACAGACTAAGCCATTAATATTATTACATAACTAAGTTTGTGGCTAAATACTGTTATTATGACTAAGAGATAACTCTGGTGGCGGTCGGCTAGGTTGATAATGGACTACCGCTAATGTTTAGGTATGCGATAAATGGTTTTAAGGAAAACAGAACTCTCGGGGTGTTCTTGATAAAGTTAGCATGTTTAATGTAAGACAAGATTATCAACAAAGTTCGACTTGCAGAAGAGGAAACGAGATAATGGTTATTCAAATGAGTTCGGTAAGAGTTTTGGGTGGCAACGAAATATTATTATTGTTATCTAGTGTTTACTATCTTTACACGTGTTATCAGAGCACTTGAGTCTCCAAGACAGATTCTGGATAAAAAAAACTAAAATTAGTGAGGTGTGGGCTGCAATTAATCTCTGAAACAAAAAAAAAATGCATCATTTGTTCGACTTTTCCAACAGACTTGAATAATTTTAATGAACTTTTTCAAGAGCAAATAAAAAAAGTTTCCAACTAACAACTTAATTTATATGTCTACAGTTGTATCCGGTACTTATATCTACTGCATTTGTATGGAGCCCATTCGCTAGCAAATCAGTAATGAGTTCGCCGTGTTTTTTCCGTGTTGATTAAAAATCTGATTTAATCCCGGCAAAAACACTGGTGATGTAATTAAAAAAAATTGTTTGTAAAGATATAATATCAACGCGGTTACAGGTACACAAAGGTGTATAGATTTCGCACAATGAAGCGGTATTATTACCATAAACTTATACTATAGAGATAATACTGAAATCTGTAAAATTATGGTTTTATGTAGGAAAATGCATGAAACGACTGAACATAGCAAAGGAATCATCAGTGAAAGATAATAAGTTCCACGGTTTATCCACAAGGAGCGCTAGCAGTATCTCACTTTTTTATATTTTTAGATAAGAACTGTTGTAGCAGTAATTTGAAGTATTATGTTGCGCTATAAACGCGATTTTTTTAATTTTATTAATATGAAGTACAAAATAATGTACTCAGAATGTTGTTTTCTACTAATGTATCTACCTAACCCCATTTATTACAATATGTACAAACCTTTAAACTACAGGTTGAAACTACCCAAACTGGAAATTTGTCATATAAAAAAAATTGGGCAAAATAAATTCATTAAAATCGTTTCCATCTTTTCTTACAATACAATGTAATATAATGTAAACCATAACTTGTTTTTTAGACTTCTCTTTTTCTTTTGTTATCTTTTACTTACTCTGTAAGTTGAACTCAACCCGTTTATTCGTCAGTGTTTTTCCATTCATATTTTAGGCATTTTCTATAGTTATAATACACACCAACTAGAATTGGTCTCCTTCCCCTACTGTTGACTTCTACTAACTATCTTGTTATGTTCTAATCAATCGCCATTATTTCGTTTTATCAGCTGATTTCCTCTTTTTTTCACCACAGTGTCAATTTCTGAATAACTAAATAGAAAGTTAAAAAGTTATTGAAACTTGAGTGGGGTATTATATTTACACTATTTACATGGCTTGAGGTTACTCCCACTTGGATGTCTTGACTAGTTCGCCAACGTTTCGGAACACTTGCACGTTCCATCTTCAGGTCTGTGGTTCGATGTTGCTCGTACCGCGCTCTCCTGCAGACTGACCGATTCGCTTCCGTGGGCGTAGGTTATATACCATACCCCCCACCGCATTCTCCGCTTCCTCTTGCCGCTGCCAGCTGTTTTCTACGGCCACGCCCCTTCGCCTTGGCCGACTACCGCATGACTGATTGCCGTTATCAATTATTTTTTGCTGCCAGCTGTTTTCTAGCAACATCGGACCACAGCCCTGAAGATGGAACGTGCAAGTGTTCCGAAACGTAGGCGAACTAGTCAAGCTAACTAGTATGTATGCATACAATATTATCAGGCACGTGTATTGCCTTTTTTATTTGTTTTTTAATATTATAAACAAAGTTAGCGAATTATTTTTTGTCCGCCTAAATAATTGTAATCGTCCCGATTGTGGGGGTCCGCTGGTCCGTGCCGATTTATCAACACAACCGGGCTAGTCTTGCATTCGGGTCGTTCCATCATTATTTATCAAACCCGGACCGGCAGTGACCGCTGCTGGTGTGGAAACGGCCATTGCTGGTTCGTTAACGACGACGTTCGAGTGTGTTCAATAGTCGTATACAAAAAGGCTCCAATCAACAACTGCACCGAGTCGTACGTGATCTACTGGAATTTAACTATAATTGACCATGTTTGTTATAAATGTGTTTCGACAAGCCAGCCAGCCAACGTAGGTAGAGCAGGTATTAGTAGATTTTTTAGATCGTTATGTACAGTTCAGTTGTGCTATGGGACATTAGTAATGAGGCCCTGTGAGATAATGTGTTAGGAAAGACTGGAGGATTTGGAAGTTAGAATATTTTGCTGCGCCCCATGTACTAAACGTTTTGACTGGTCGATAACCAGCTTTGGATAACCATTTTTGAAATTATTTAAGTTTCAAATTTAGGGCAGGAGAAAAAATAATAAGTTTAGGAGGAAGATATTAAAAACAAAAGAAATTGTGAAAAATTGAGATCACATTGTGTAATATGTTTTCGCGGATCAACCTAACCTAACCGGATTAAAAAAAAAAACTATCCACTGACAGTCCCTCCGCAACAGAGAACAATAGGGACGTATCTAATCACTTTGCACCACATTATGTCTATTGGCGGCGAAAATAGGAAATTATACTCATATAATGTGTTGTCTACAGTCATTGTATGCGATCTCCGACTCGTACAAACCGTCGACCCTTCAAATTGTAAACGATTATTGCAATAATTATACAACTTAAACGACCGACCAAGTGAAAGATGACTCGTGACTGAGCCGTCAACAAATTAATTTAAAAAAAAAAAGTCTCTCTCTCTCTCGCGAAAGAGAAGCTAACGATTATGAGCTTATTTTTTATATAAACGACCCGTGCACACACTTTGAAATAAAATCTTTTTCGAGTTGAACGGTCGAAGTTTGGTGGAAAACAATTTAAGTAAAATATTAGCTCTGCAGTCGTCGGATGCTCCGATGTGTATCTTCTGTTAAAAACAATTTGAAAGCAAACAAGAGAGAACTTTTCAAAAAGAACAAGCAATAATGAAGAAATTCGACGACTGCAACATTCAATGTCGTTATTCGAACATTGTTAATCAAACAAATTACTTTATAACAACATTATCTAAAAAATTATCTACTATGTGTTTTGTCAATAAATAAAATATCAACGAGAAAAATGTTTTAATAATATTTTCAAATTCTAAAAAAGTAATAACTATTAATTTTACTAATTACCGTCATAATACTTTTCCATGCTTAAAATATTTTTTACCGAATCACAAGAAAACGATTTGACTCGACTTTTACTGAATACGGTCGACATGATGAGTGTATA